TCAAGTGTTAACGAGCTAACCACGCTAACGAGCTAACCACGCTAACGCCATGCAGCCCAGAGGAGCTGCACAGCCTAAAATCCTTTCATTTTCTTAAAAGTTGACAGCGAGCCTTATGTATAAATTCTAGTTGTGCTTGATGACCGCGAACCGATTTTATGTGGTACACAGCGCTCAGCAATCTGTCAAAAAATGTTTTAGTACGACTTTGCTAAGCTACGGAGCTGCACCGCTTGATGGATTGTTGGAGCATTACGGCTACCGAGGAGCCTCGCGGAGTGATACGTACTGTGCTTCAACGTAATATTAGCGTACTGTGTGTGTATAAGGACCATAAATGGCACCTGTTTAGAGAAACGGTTACGAAGAGGATTTCAAACTCCAGGCTGTCAGTCACGCAGTAGAAGTTGGGAACAGAGCAGCTGCGAAATCTGTCTCTATGTTATTATGCTCAGCGTCTTTTAGTTTACATTTTGACTGCACAATTGTGAGCTTTTTGTTATGCACAAAAACAACATTGTTTTAGTTTATTTATGGAGCATTATTAATTAATAAATGCTCATAATTAATTTTTGTTAAATTTTTTCATGTACATCTGTGCTGTATGTTAATAAAAGTGCCTGTGTGACATCTGGGACACAGCTTTAACTAAGAACTCTTTTTTTGTTCTTACTTTATGGCTTAAAAAAAATATCGAGATATATATCTTATATCGCCATCCAGCTAAAAAATATCGAGATATGAATTTTGGGTCATATCGCCCAGCCCTAACAGGTAACAATGCACAGAATATGTATAGAAAAATTGAAGAGTTGTACGGAGATATGTATAAAATGCAGTAAACCTTTACAATACTGTGTTAATTAAAAATGCAATGCGATTATGTGTTAACTTGTAGCACTTGTATACACAATACTTACCTACACAGGGCACATTATGAAAAAAATTGTATTTGAAAACCAAAATGCAGTGAAATTGCAAATGTACTTTTCATAACTGTATGCTGTGACTTAGCTGGACAAATTGTTTCCTTTCAGTGTTACAATATTGACTCCACAGTAATTTCTCCAGTAAAGACGGTCTTTCACTTGCGAATATGAAATCAGTCCCTCCAGCAAAGCTTTTAAGCCCTTATCTTCAAATCTCTCTCTACCCTTGGCTTTCCTCTGGAGAATGCAGCTGACATCTTTATTCCCACAGCTTCGCATGCAGTCCGATTTCTCAGGGGATTCAGACAGAAAGAGACAAGCAGAGCGGATAATCGCAAGAAAAAGAGTTTAAGAGATTAATTTCGGGGGGGTTTTTCTCCCCTTTATCATGATTGCAACCTTTACTAGAGTGTATGTGTGTGAGAGAGAGAAATAGCGACAAAGGAACAAATGAAGATGATTAGATGAAAAGGAAGGCGCAAGTATGTACAGTAGGATATATGATTAGTAGTTGTGTTGACAAAGTGCTTTTTTTTCCTTTGGAAGAATCCCAACCGTGCCCCAATGTAAGCCTGAAGAGCTGTAACAGCATTTATTTCCCCAGAATAACCATTCAAACAATGCTTTCTCAACATTCAAGGCTGATTGTTTTCTTCAAAATTGTTCGTTAATGCGAAAATGTAAAAACAAATACAGGTTATAAGTAAACTAATGATATTGCGGCTGTATTGTAACCATTTAAACCTAGTTTGTCACACTCAAAGCAATTTTCCTAGTGAGAGATAGTTGTGCCTCTGTTGGCTGATTTGTTATCGAAAGTAATAAAATTAGATTTGCTTGCAACAGAGCGATCTGGGAGGCTATTAAGTAAAGCCGTAAGGAGGTGTATGCACATTTACAATCCAGGCCGGGTGCTCCAAAATAGTACAGGAGAGACATTTAGAAAGAGAAATGATGGCCATTCGCTGGATTGATCCCCCTCTTACTGGTTTAATCAACAACATTGCATCATAGCTTGAGTTTTGTCGGGTGAACATCCCGGTATGAGTTACACCCGTCTGTGTGTTTGTTGTTTACTCCAATTTAAAATGCTACTCAAAATACCACAAACCATACATCAGTACAAAATGAGTGTTTTAAATTCTGCCTTTTCTAGATTGTTGATACCGATAAACACAAAGTACACAGCAGTGTTTTGGTTTTTAACATCATATAACTTTGATTTACTGTACTGTGTAATGTTTTAATCAAGATAACACACAATGAGCATGCATAACAACTGTAGCATGCATATGCATAGCTCATATAATGTTAAGCACCAGATACAAAGGTAAAAAATTAGCAACACATGTTGCTAAATGCACTTGTCAGTGCATTTTGGATGTAGGCAAAGTTCTGCAAGAAATCCTGTTTCAGCCTCAATTGTACCAAATTTCATGGCAGCTTATCCAATATTTTTTTTCTTTTAGTCTGTAAAACAGCCAACACTGCTGTCTCTAAAGTCATGCCACTCTCACTGCTAAGAAAAGAAATTCTTTCCACTTTGCACATCAGACTGTTTTATTTTTTATTTTCTTTCTTTCTTTTTAAACAGGTCCACACGGGACAGCGAGGATGAAGACGACGAAGACAGGCGAGGGCGAAGCTGCACTCTGCAGTACCAGCATGCCATGGTCAAAGTCCTGACTCATTTCATAGCCGAGTCAGCTGATCCTCGAGGCCAGACCAGCTACATGCTGGGCACCGATTGGCAGGTGGACATTACGGAGCTTGTTTGGGACTTCCTCAAAGTAGAGAATGCACAGGTTGCACAGCTATTGGACAAGAAGATACTAGTGGGCCTTGACACAGGCATGACCACTATTCAGGTATACGAAGAATCTGTATCTGTATCAGTATTTGTTACAACAACAGATTACAGGTGCTGTCTAAAACTGAGCAGGTCAGCCACTAATCAGAAGGTCGGTGGTTCGATCCCAGGCTGCCTCCTGGCTGCATGCTAAATATCCTTGGGCAAGATACTAACCCCATGTTTGCCTACTGGTGGTGGTCAGAGGGCCCGGTGGCGCCAGTGTCCAGCAGCCTCACCTCTGTCAGTGCGCCCCAGGGCAGCTGTGGCTACAATGTAGCTTGCCATCGCCAGTGTGTGAATGTGTGGATGACAGAATGTAGTGTGAAGCGCTTTGGGGTCCTTAGGGACTAGAAAAGTGCTATACAAATGCAGGCCATTTACCATTTAATAATCATAAAATGATTATCTTTAGTACACGTGCAACCACAATACAATTTGTACACCGGCTTTTTTGATTACGTTTAATTTCAAAGCACAGTTAAAATCTTAGTGGGCACGACTGTAACATGCTTGGTGCAATCCCCCGAAGCTTGGCACAGTGTTATCATGATAAATAGAAAGAAAAAAAAACTGTTAAAAGTGGTGGTTCCTAAAAACTAATACTCAGTAGGCTTCTTTCAAGTTGCATTTTATAATTTTTAAAAATGCAATTTCACTGTAATGCTCCACTTTGGCCAGTTCTTCCCTGATTTGAACCATATGTTCTCTGAACAATGTTGCCTCTGATTCCAAATAGGTACTTGGCATTGATTCTTGTTCTTCCCTGAATACCTGCTTTGTTAACAGCAGTAAGAGATCCAGAAACAGCTCGAGTGAAATGCTGTCATTCAGTGTGCAATTATTCTGCCGTTGCTACAATCTTTCAAAACTCCAGCTATGTTTGTGTTGGAAGATCAGTGCTTCCTTTTAATCCTCTTTACTCAAGTAATTGTGCAAATCTCAAAATCTGTTGTATAGATGCACACACACACACACACACACACACACACACAGTAGTGTAGAAGCTATTTGAGGCTGGCAAAGATTTGTTTTAATATAGAACAGTATAATATTGTGGTTGTTCTAATAAATCAAATAAATAAGACTAGTGATTTTATTAGTGATTTAACTACAACCACTTGGGAAATACAGTTCTATGTCTCTGCACTCATCACGGGCGTAGCAGTCGTGGTAATTTGGGGCTTTTTATGATTTCTCTGAACTTTTTTCAGAGTGGAATGATTTACATCTTTAATGACATTAAAAGCAATCATTTGGTGGACAGCTTTTAATCAATTTAGGATTTTCTCTAAACCACACAGGGTCATAATTCTACGTACAGGTTCAAATATATACGTACACTCACTTAAATCTTCTATTAAGGTGCTGAAGGTTAGATGAGAAACCACTTTGTCAAGGTCTGGAAGAAAGAAACCCCAAACTGTCACCCTCAGATGAGAGTACCATCTACCTAGTGGTACCGGTACATTGCACAAAGTGGATGGAGTAATGAAGAAGTATTTCTACCTCTAAATTCTTCAACTTTAGGTCAGTTCAACAGGTAGTTGGACACAACTGAGAGTATCAGCAGGACAATGATCCCAAACAACCATGGAAACTAGTTTTGGAATGAATGAAGCAGGCGAACACTAAGCTTCTAGAAAGTCCTTCACAAACCCCAAAATTGTGGACTTTCCATAAGAACTTTGTCCAGGCCAGAAAACAAACGGATTTAAATGAACTCTACCAATTCTGCCAAGAAGAGTGATTAAAAATATCCAATTGGAAGCTTGTTGATGTCTACCAAAAACATCCGGCCGAGGTGCAACTTGCTAAGATACATTTAATCATATATTAGTGTGACGTGTGTGTGTATTTGAGCCTGTAGGTACACTTTATCCCTTTGTTGGTTAGACAAAATCCCAAATAGCTTCAAACTTGTGCACCCAATTTGTGTTTTTTTAATCATTTAAGATATATTCAGTATAATCATTCCACCCTGGTAGAGGAACAGTTCTAAGAAATCATTAAAAGCCCAAAATTACCATGACATTCATGCCTGTAATGAGCTTAAACTTCTGACCAAAACTGTGTGAGTTTGGGTGTAGCATTCATCCATCCCATCAAACGCAACATCTTGGGGATACTTCTTTTTATAACTTTGTGGTCAACTGAAGTCTCTTTGCCTGGCCAGAACTCGAGAGTTTATGCACTAATTAGGCAAAACATTGCAATAAATTTCAGAATAAATGTTAAATTGGTAACCTTTTATATTTAACAAGTCAATGGTGAAATTTGGTGCCATAACTCAGGAACTGGTGAGCATTAGTGGTGGTTCGGTGGTTCTGTCAATCTGCCAGGCTAAAAATGTGCTTGAAGTATTCATGTTTTAACATTTTTTTTGCTTCTCTGTAGCAACAGCCATGACTGCTGTCATGGTTACAGCTCTGTACTCTGTCAGAATCTTTAAACATAATTACATTTATTATGTTGTACTACAGATCCTTGGATGTGAATGTGTTCACAGCCAGACAACAACATGGTTGTAATTCTAGGTATATCTAGGAGTATCTTAAACTCTAATTAGAGTTTACCTACCTTAACATTACATTATTCTCTCTAGAGAAAAACATGTCACAATAACATGCTGTGGAAACATGTTCTTATCCCGGGGACAGTAACAATTGTGAATGTTGCTGTTGCAGTTTGACTAGTACCTCCCTTTGACCAGAGCAGACAGGTGATTACTGGTGTGTCACAGCCTGTACTTCAGGCTCTCTGTAGTGAGTGGGTCCTCTCCCCTCAGCCCTATGCTTTGTCAGGCTCTTCACACTAACTGGATGAATATCAGCCTCCTAATGACATCTGTGAGAGTGGGATCTGTTTCCTGGCTCTGAGTACTCATCCGTCTGTTTCTGTGCAGAGATGTGTTCAATCCCCAAACACCACAAACCTGAAAATATAAGCATCAACCGGAAAACACGACAAGTACGAGGGTCTGACAGCTGACTGCCTGTGCCATGCATCATGCTGATGAAAGATACGGCACACGGATGAGGATAAGCATGCGGAGGAAGTCTTCCTCTGCATGCTTCGTTCTTCTGTTTTGGGGTTAAAGTGTGCCTCTTTTTTAGATTACCAATATTAGTCAAAGGGAATGGATTCATACCTACATGAGGAACGAGGGTTGGATGGCATCCAAGTTGAGTTGTTTTTTGATCCACCCAGCCTGAGTAGCGACAGATAAAATTAAAATAAAAGTGTGTTTTGTGTATCGTTTTGCATATTGCGGAGGAGCATGCAAGTCTTTTATGTTAGATGAAAACCCTTGGAAAGACATTTTCTCAGCTTCACCTATAACTCACAGTAATCCCTCCCTTTTTTCCCTCAAATCAGTGGCATCTTCACAGCCAAATGCTCACTGATGTGTTGTTTTTGCATTTCACTTGCAAGAAATCACTTGTCAGTCAAACAATGTGACCAGTGTGTATTTTCCGTTAATGAAGTTTTTTGCTGTTTTCTTTCCGCTCCATTCGTTTCTGTTTGCTGTTGCTGCTGATTTCTCTTGGGAAAGACCTCCCAGGCCTCAGTGTTTAGAGCAGGAAATCATAAAGCCTTCATCAACAGGCTATACACTAGGTTGAGTCACTGCTGTTGAGTAGCATCTATAATTGTTCGTACCAAATGTGACAGGTTACTACGTGTATTCGTGAGGAATACCGTCAAAGAAAAATGTAATTATTTGCCTTTTTTACTTTAATGTCTCCATGGTAATCTGTCATCTCTCTCCTTGTTTTTCTTCACTTTTTCAGGTGTTGTCTCCTTTATCAGACTCAATCCTGGCAGAGAAGACTATCACAGTGGTGGATGACAAAGTGACCATCACAGAGTTGGGAGTCCAGTTGGTGACAGGCCTTTCCATGAGCCTGCAGCTCAGTCCGGGAAGTAACCGGGCCATCCTGGCTACTACAACCACACAGGAAGTCCTGCAGAGCTCCAAACAGGTCAGGACGCTGTAAGAAATTAAAAGCAACAAAACTACATTAAATATGCATAAGGGTTATTGGCTCACAAGTATGAGAACATATTGTCTAATTGAATGAGCAAATTCATCTAAATTTATACACTCACCTGCCATTTTTATTTTATTTTTGCCTTTGGAACTGCACAATTGTTCATAGCATGGATTCAGTAAGGTGCTAGGAAACATTCCTCTGAGATTGTGGTCCATATTAACATGACAGCATCACACAGTCGCTGCAGATTTGTCAGCTGCACATCCTTGATCCAAATCTGCTGTTCCACCAAATCCCAAAAAAGCTCTCTTAGATTGAGATCTGGTGACTGTGAAGAGCATGAGAGCACAGTGAACTCGCCGTCATGTTCAAGAACCAGTTTGGATTTATTTGAGTTTTGGTGTGTTATTCTGAGGGAAGCAGCCATCAGAAGATGGACACGTTGTGGTCATAAATGGACATGGTCAGCAGCAATACTCAAGTAGACTGCTGTGTTTAAGTGATGCTCAGTTGGTACTAAGGAGCCCAAAATGTGCCCAGAAAATATCCCCCATTCGAATATAACATCGGCAGCCTGAATTGTTAACAAAAGGCATGATGGATTAATTCGCTCATATTGTTTATTCAAATTCTGACACTAACAGCAGAAATTGAGACTCATCAGTACAGGCAACATTTTTCCACTTTTGGCAAGCCAGAGTGAATTATGTGAAAAATGTTCAGATGGCTCTACAGGGAAAGGAGAAAATCTGAAAACCTGATTGTAAAACGTCGTAAAAATAGGAAAAGATATTTTAGTTGACTGATGACCAAAGAAAACATCGCTTGAAACACATTTTGCTGCAATCAGGGGGAACATAAAGAGCCACATGCAACTCATCAGATCTGCAGTGGACACTGTCTTAAAATAACACAGTGGGCATTGCAATACTTGCACGAAAAACAGACAAGTGCTTCAAAGATGGTGGTTGGGGTGGGTTATCAACTGGAATCTGAGTTTCTGTGGCAGCTCAGACAGTGTGAAATAGATTGTATAATGTCAACAGGTATGGAAAGAGTCCAGATTAAAAACCATTGCTCATTGGCACAAAATATTATATGCAGTTATATACAATTATATTAATTTAAACTGTTTAAATACCCTACTATTCAACTTAGACGTAATGTAGTTACTGGAAGTGATTCAGTTTTGACACTTACAGTGCCTTTGTTGCATACAGAAAGTGGAGGTGTTTTAATAATTAATTAATAATTGCTCAGTAAAACCAACGAATAATCGTTAATCAACTGAGATTTTCTAATAATCATATTATCAGTTATCCATCAAAATCAAATATTTGATAGTCGATGCTCCTCAAATCTAATTTTCTTTGTCATACCTAATATCTTATTATCGTCTTTCCATTTCCTTAAGCTGCAGAAAATTATAGTCAAAACTTTAATGTGTTTTAATAGATAAAATGATTAATGGATAAAATGAGTGGATAATTAGCAGGTTAGCAGAAAAAGAAGATAATAATTTGGTGCAGACCCACGTATAAGAGACTTCTATGTGATTTTACTTAACAGCTCATTTCTCCTCAGAGCCTCCTTTACAAAAGTGGGCGCTGATTCTTCTCTACTAGATGAAAATTATTCACAGACCATTTAGACAGATCTGATTAAGGCAGATAATTATTTTCATTTGTTTTACATTGGCAATTATTATCACCTAGAATATTAAATTACTCTTAATTAGATGAAATAATTTTTTATATAAATATCAGCTGAAGCCAAAAGTGCTCAATCGCCAACTCAAATACTTTTAGGGTCTCTATAAAGTTATTTTTTGTTTGCATTACACTATCCCTGTCTAAAAAGAAAAAGAAAATAAGTGTGAGATTATAAAAAGTTATCTACAGGAGGAGCGCTGCTTTGAGGCAAGCTGGATGTCTTAGGACAGCGGTCCCCAACCTTTTTTGCGCCACGGACCGGTTTATGTCCAACAATATTTTCATGGAACGGGCTTGTGTCGCGGATAAATAAACCAGAAAAACCCACTACCGGTACCAAAAAAACAGAAGAGTTATTCTTAACACACGAGAAAAGACCCTGGGAAACCAAGTTAATGATCAAAACAATTAAAAAATAACAACAAAAACCGATAAAACCCCTGAAAACCATACATTTCACACCCGAGCCTCAACTCTCGCGGCCCGGTACCAAACAACACAGAGTCTTATTGTCATGGCTTCCAAAGCTTGTGAGCATAGTGCAGCCTGAGGGCTAGCAGTCCATTGGCATAGCCTCTCTTAACATTTAAGCTGGTGGGCAGGCCCATAGCTTCAGCCTGGCAGCTTGATCCTTTAATGAATAGCAAAAACAATACAAAAATGGAAAAATTATAAGCTTTTTCATTTACTTCTATTTGTAGTTCCTCTTTTTTAATTAATTTTGTTATATTATTTACTTTCCTGAATAGATGTACATGTTTTTCTTCTATGTCTTGGCTAGTCTGTTCTTTTACGGCACTCATATATTAACTCAAAGGCTTGAAAGCATGTAACGCAGCGCTTCTCTTTGGTTATCTAATGGAAACAGAAGTTTAATCTCAGAGCAAGCTCAAGCAGCACCACAGTACTGTACAAAATTACGACTTAAAATCTGAACTTTGCAATTCTGTCATGTTTGCTTTTCTTTATAATTTGCTGCAGCTACTCTCGCTGTGGCCTCTTTGATCAAGCTCTCCAGTGAGCTCTCCGAGCTGCCCCGAACTATTCCACTTCACCCTTTTTTCTGACTGAGGGCATGAAGGCTATTTATCAGCTCTATCTTCTTACATAGAGTGTGGGGATAAGCAGGCAGCACTGCGCTTGCAAGACCTCTGGTGTTACTAATATAAGGAGCATTGACAGACCACTGTGGGAATCTATATACTTGTGCGCCTTTGGGGGATTTGTCTCTTGGTGATATTAAAATGCAAATTGTGAAACTGCAGTAGTAGGCGGCTTCACGACACCCATGTATGGAGAAGCCTCAGTGGCATGAACAATATTTAAAGTAACTGTTTGATCTTTTCTGCCCCTTGGCTGAGAGAAAATAGCTGCTGAGGTAGCTTAACCACAACTTAGTGAGCTTGACTAAAGGAACACTGAATCCAAATAATCATTATGCAGCTCATTTGAACAATTCACTATACTCCCATAAGTTAAAGCCGGCGGAACAAGCAAGGGGAGTTTCAGAGCTAACCTGTTGAAAATGATCCGTTTCCATGAAATTATGCTCTATGCAGTATTTTTACAGCATCATTTCAATCCTTTGTAATGTCTGACGATCCTGCCTCTCTCTCTCTCTCTACCTCTTTTGTAGGAGGCCTTGATTAGTGCCTGGCTACAGTTCAGTGACGGCTCTGTGGCTCCACTAGACCTCTACAATCCAGACTTTTTTGTCCTGACAGCCACTTCACTAGACGAGGAAGTGGTGACAGTGCAGCAGGACCCTTCCTGGAAATGGCCTGTCATTGTGACGGAGGCAGAGGGTCAAGGCCTGCTGGTCAGGGTGGAAATGACTGTTAGTGAAGTGTGCCAGAAGTTCAAGCGACGCAGCATTATAGCGGCGGGGAACTGCAACATCAGGGTGAAGTTTGGCCACAGTGACAGCTCAAGGGGAGGGAGCAGCGACTATGGTCCTGATGGAGATGATATGGAGAACAGGGGCAGGCTCTCCTCCCAGGACAGGACCGGCCTTGACACACACTATTATGGTAGTTCGATCTCTGACATGGAGGATGGCGTGCTGAAGAGAACCACCACAACGAGAAGCGCAATAATCCGCAGACCCAATGGGGATAAACTTTCAGTGGATGGTAGCCAGAGCATACCAATTGACTTTGCTGACTTCCCCGCACAAGTAGATCTGCCCCGTGGTCGCAATGTGGACGACGAACTCATTCAGACTGCCCGAGGGCTCACAGACCTAGAAATCGGCATGTACGCCTTGCTCGGGGTCTTCTGCCTCGCCATCCTGGTCTTTCTTATTAACTGCATTTCCTATACGCTCAAATACCGTCACAAGGAGCTCTCCATCGAGGACCAGGAGAACATGAACCATGCTCACGACTGGGTGTGGCTGGGGAACGAGGCCGAGCTGCTGGAGAGCCAAATCAGCCTTTCGCCTCAGCAGGAAGAACAGACGTCCATGATAGACTCAAGCAGCGGCCTCGAGGAGGGCAGCCACTTACTGAACGGAGGCTCTTCCCAGAAGAGCGTGCCGAGCCAAGTGCATCGGGCGGCAGACACAGGCTGCATAGCCAAGGACAGCAAAGGAGACTCCCCCACCACCAAGAGAAAGCGAGTTAAGTTTACCACGTTCACCACTATCCCCTCGGACAATAGCTACCCCACTGTTAGCACACTGACTGGAAGCCACAGCCATGACATTAAGTGGGTGTGTCAAGACGTGCAGCTTGGAGACTCCAAGGAGTTGCGCAGTTACATGGAAAGATTAAATGACAGTGCTTTAAAAGAGGTGGCATAATGTACTGTGTGCACTTGTGACAAACTCACCCATATGCCTTCCAGCCAGCGGAGAGTGGGTCTCAACAGAAACCAGATCCACAGTTGGTGATCGAGGAGTAAATTTACTTCAGAATCAACCCAAACTGCCAAAGGGTCATTAAACTTTGCGAGAAATGTCATGATTCCACATGTGACTGATGATAAATCACTGACAAAAAACATGAGGTGGTTTTTTGTTTGTCAGATGGTTGCCACTTAAACATTGTTTTATTATTACACGATTTAGAATCGTGCAAGTGTCCCAGAACTGATCTGCAGCAAAGCATATAGAGTTTAAAACGAACAGTGACGTGACTAGATAGATATTCCGAGTGTGTGTGTGTGTGCACATTAAATGGCTTTGGAAGTTCTGTATCAATTTTGGATTTCTTACATGAGAGTTCTGGAAAGGCCAAAGCAAGTCAAGACAAATCTGCATGTTGTTTGGGGGGGAAAAGAAAAGAAAAACAAGAATGGCACAACTTTCCGGTTCATTGTCATCCTCCTTAGCAAGGCATAAGACCTGTTATGTATATACTGAACAATCTCCAAAGCATTGTACTGTTGCTCTGTATATTGTATTTTCATAACATTTAAGGAATACACAGTAATGTCAAGAGTGTGCATCAGCTTTTATTGACTGCAGCATTGTGAGGCATTGAGTCTTTAGATTGGAGAAGGTGAAGCCAATTACACACTGATCTTTGTATCAAAGACTCTTTATAAGATGTAATTTACCTACAAGCAACAACACAATCTAATCCCGTTTAATGCTGGCCAGTGAAGAAAAGCATCAATACTCTCCTCTTGTCCATTACAATCAAGTACCCTGACACCACAGCCAGTATATGTGAATGGCTGACCATCATGATAATGTGACATTTCCCAATACCACCCTCTCAGTTAAAAGTTTTTCAAGGTTTGAAGAAAATACCAATTAACGCCTCTGTCCCATAATTACACGCAAGGTAGGAAATATTACCTTTTTTTGGTGGTGGATCTTTTATTATTCAGATAATTGCACAAATAATAATCTTCTCTGAAAACTTCCTAAACAAGGGCAGTCGGCTGAAAAATTGCATTTTGCTCAGTGAACGTTATTATCATCACAGTGGTGTTGGGGAATTGTGTGTGCGTGAGTGTGTTATTATTTTCCATCAAGCAGAGAAATGTTCACATTATGTTAACTGTTGCCGCAGTATGAATCAGATTGTTAATCAGTGGCATCGTCAATATTATTCGTTTCAGCAAATAGTGGTGCTACCTTGAGTAGAATTGGGGATGTCGTTTAGAATAGCTTACTTCTGTCAGCATTCGGCACTAAATGGAGCCCCACCAGATACCTACACGGAGGTTTAGCAGCTTTTCCGGCTATTTTTCTGCCTATTTCCCTTATGGTGTGTCAGCTGAGAAGGTTTATACCATTTTCATGTCCGCACATTAGCTTAAATATCACACTACAGAGGCCCCAGTCACAGAAAACCCCCAAGCAACCGTTAGTTGCTAAGGGAAAATGTGTTTCCCCCAACTGGTTGGTCAGTCATTGCTGACTGTTGGACTGAAAACCTATTCACAATTGCTTTGGTCGCTAGCAAATTGCCCCAATCAACTGTAGTTTGCACAGAAGACACCAGCTTGTCTGTAAAGACTTGCTAACTTCTAGCAGAGCAGTAGTAGACTTAGGTTGTACCGGCTGCATCTGACACATTTCAAAAGGTCAAATTTTTAGTTTGAAGACTAACACTCTCTGTTTCACTACAATTTAGCGAGTAGTTGGTGAGCGTTAGCTCTTTCATGCAAACTATAAGCAATAGTAGCAATCTGCTAGCAAAAAAGTTTTTGTTGCAGCTAACTGGCAGTAAATGCTACTACAAAAACATACAGGTAACATTAATTTTCTTAGCTAACCCTTATCAAAGAAGAATATGTAATAATATGCATTATTTTTTAAATGTATAACTAATGTTTTCTGGTGTTGCAGTGTTTTAAGTGCTGATATTTCTAAACTGGGGTAATTTAAGTAGAAAAAAATGAAGACATCTATGAGCAATGTAACACGCACACACACCGTGATACACACAAACAATTATGTTCTGTCACCATGTCGTGATCCGCTTCATTTTGTGGGGTTTTCCCGCTTCTGTGGCTTTAGCGTTATCTCCAGGGGACTGAAGCGGGGGTCACAGCTGCTGCGCTCAGTCGGTGGACCGTGAAGGGCGAGGAATGCCTGTGTAGATATGGGAGGGATTTAACTGCCAGCCACAAGGGTAATGATTGATGGAGGGCCCCGGTTAATTAAAACACCACTGCAACTCTCTTTCTGCGACCACAGTTGGTGGCTTCAGCCTCTTCAAGTAAAAGCAATACAACCCATTAAAGGCACACCACATTCACCCCCTTGGGCTCCAGTTGTGGATGTGCTCATACCTGCTGGGATGTAGCACAGGAAATATAATGGCTGTATTCACTTCGGTTCATGGAGCATGTTAACTCAAGTCTCATTTTTGTTAGCCTTGAAGACTTGACTTCATGAAAAGGGAAAGGAGAAAAAAAAAAGCTTCCCCAGGCCTCCATCTTAAATGGATTTTTAATTAAATTGATGATGTGAGACCAACAAACTCTCACTAATGGTTGGCTGTGCTCCCTGTGGTCCTAATGTGCCGAGCCCGTATTTGCAATTTCCAAATGATTATTCGCCGTTTGATTTATGTTGCTTCATCTGAATTCATTTTACCGTCAGTTCACAGCAGGTTCACGACGGCTAAACGTACACAAACACCCCGCTGGAGAGGAGCGAAGAAACAGCCGACGAGGTCGGCTTGACATTCCGGTCCGACCGATTCTTACAGATGGAGTCGCAGGGAACTAGAGGCAACATTGTTTACAACGCCCCTGTGCCAAATCTGTCTCCTGTAAACACAATCTCCCACCTGACCAGCAGACCACATTGGGAAGATAAACACCACAGCACACATGAACAAATGTTCCCTTGTCTTACCATCTTTGTAAGGGCTCTCAGGCAAAGTCCCTACCCACAAGATGTAAAGCTCTAAAAGAAAAAAAAAAGGTCATAAATATGTTTTTTCCAAATAAAAGTAAGTAAATTGTACATCTGTTAGAGACTGGTTCAACTGCACACTTAGTAAACGAATGAGTGATAATTTGTGTCGGAGTGCTTTAAAACAACCAAGAGTGCGCGTGTTTCTTATAATGAAGACATCACCCAGTGCAGCAGCGCGTGTTTATCCTTTTGAACAAAAGAGGGACTCTGTGGCACAGAAAAAATGTGCTAGTGTGTTAGTTGTGGAGATTATTCATTTGTAGTCAGTTAATTAGTTTTTGCCTTTTTTATGGGATTTCTTGAAAGTAAGAAATAAACAACCTTGTGCAGGTATTTTTGGCCTCCAGAACCAACAAAGTGATCTCAGCACAAGCTCACAGGTACAGAGTATTAGCGATAACTCCGAACTCCAGCAGCTATAAACAACTACAGTAGCTGGCGAAAGGCTTCAGCAGCATGACTCGAGCACCCAGCCATGTCATTTAGATGTATTGGCCCACTAGTAAAGGCAACGTGCACAAGGGAGCGACATATCAGGCAGTGCTCTCAGACAGGCTGAGGAATTTTTCTTCCTGCTGAAGAACAACAGAAGGTCAGAGGGCTACCAAGATACACCTGGCACAAATGGTACTCCTCAGAGTGGCTAAAAAGATTTATCTTGATACCTGTACTGTTTTATGGGAGTCAAGTCCCATTCTGCACAAATAGGATACTCTAAACCACTGGGCATGCACATAATAACTAAGGCTGATGCCGTAAATCCAGATGGATGTACGCTGTTAAAGCGTTTTTACGGTTGCTTATTTCACACATCATCTGTCTGAATGAACATCCTCACCTGCCGCCTCGCTCAGTCCTACAGAAATCAGTCTTACAAGCGACAAGACAAGCACATTTTCTGGAACAAGAGATTGGGAGAGGTTATGTTATCCTCAGCACGACTTCTTCATTGGTGTGGCATTTCAGAAACATATCAGACACGAGTTTAACAACCCGCCCCTCGTCCCACTTAGATTCCCCGGACTCCAGGATGCCGCGTGATTAGTTCGAGGTAAATGCTGATGATGAGTACTTAGAGATGAGTGATTTGTCTGCTTGGCTGTTTTCTTAAACATTGTGTGTGCATTAGCTTATCCTAATTAACATGCAGCGATACCTCCTAATCCTCCAATTACTGGAGCAACATCTTAGGGAGCATCTGACGGCCGCTCATTACACAGGTAAGACTCAGTAATACAATTAAAAGCAGCTTAACATTCTGTAGATTAGCCCGCCGCGCGCCCCTGAAAAATCATTGACATACAGCACGCACAGTGGTCTTAATTGAGAAGTATGGAGACGTGCAGAGCAGAATTCACAAATGAAAACTCTTTATGGGATTAAACTTTTTTTTTCGCAAGGAAATACTGTTTGATACACGTCTGCTTAGTACTAAAGATGCTTGGAGTAATAGTGCCTCTAATTAAAACTTACAGTCATAATTTAATCTTCAGTTTCTGGAAGTCTTTCGTTGTTTACTTGATCTTTTATCACAACTGTGTCGCACAGATTGCAGACAGAACAGGGATTCAGCTACATACATATTGTTTGTAAAGTCCTGTTTGAAAGCCTTCATTTTAGTGTCTTGGCCAACTGTTGCCAGTTTGGGTTTTTTTGGGGCCCACATATTATCATTTGGTGTTGTTGTAAGCTAACGCTAACTTTTGTCCTTTAATTCAAAGGGGTGAGTTCAAAGGAAATCTAATCCCATGGAGCCGTCCTACAGGTGGAGAGAGATGGCAGAGATCAACACTCCACTTTGTCCCAGAATATATAGTAAAGTCAGGCATTGCATCACATCTCGAATCAGAACATTTTCTGGACAACCATCTCCAAGATACATAAACATTTTATGGCCCAAAGTTTGAACACTTATTATGGTTACTGTGAGATTTTAGCTTGAGATATAGAGTACTTTTCAAAATATATACACCTATTGAGCCACATTCAGACCATTTTTTGGGACATTAAAAGCTAAAGAAAGATTCAAGACCCAACATCGCATCAAATATCAAAGATGATAATACTGAATGAAAACATGGATGAAAGAAAATGGATCAATGCATCATTTTCAAAAAACTATATCTTGCAAAGTATTTAATATATGAAGCTAGAATTTCACAGGAATCATTATATATTTCCAAACTTTGTACCATATATTTTTTTATGCAAATCGGATCCAGTCGAGCAGAAGGCCTGCATTGATTTTAAATGGAATGACCCATATGGGAGTCTGACTCTAACATTTGGACCCAGTCTCAAGTGTACCCCGAAGGGTTTTGGCGCTTGTGTTTGGTAGTTTCAAAACCAAGACAGAGTTTAAAAAAAAGACTACACCTAGAACTAAGTACTCATCCAATCATGTAATACAGCAATGACTTGTGTGCAGGTAAAGTATTTTGTATTATCTGTAGCTGATGTGAAACCATTGCAGGACTCTCAATTTAACATAATGATCGCTAAAGGCAGAAAACAAATGGAGTTTCCATTATAGGCTGCATATAAAAGATGGTCGTAGCCAAGCTGCAATTTGTGACACCACCCCAGAGAAAAAAGAGAGGCCTTAAATATTTATTATGTTACTGCTGTGAATGTAATGTAATGTTAAGAAAATATTCTGAACTTGAACATATAACCAGAACATTTACAAGAATAGTGGGGGGTTTTTTTTGTTGTTTTTTTTTTTTAATGACTTGAATATGTGCAGTCTTCTTGGTCTAAAGTGATCCATCCACCTACTATCAAAGACAATACAAATGGTTTACGATGCCAGAATTAAATG